GCTGCACTGAGGCAGCCCTGGGGACTGCAGGGTGCTGTGCTCCATGGCTGGGAGGGGATACAGAGCAGAACAATCTCAGTCCTCCATAAATTGCGAAAAAAGCAAAGCAACAGGGCTAGTGTGCCGTGGGGGGAGGGATGCCATAGCCTTTGTCTCCTCAGACCTGCACCACCATTACTGGCACATCTCGTGAGAAGAGAGGTGGGGTGCAGCCAGAGCCGCCATTTCCTCCTGTGTTCAGCACCTGGGAGGGGGGCGGGCTGAGCCCTGAATCTGCACCCGGGGGCTCCGCAACCTCATAGGCAGGACTGAGACTTGTTTACATCCTGAGGCAGATAGGACCTTTCTGCCCTGGCACCTCAGAGAACTTGTGCCACCAAAACAAGGAGCTGAGATTTCGCACTGAGCAGAGACGGGGCTGTTCCGCGGTCTTCCCCGAGTCCGCCTTCGCCTTCGGAGTGTCAACCTGAGGCAGAGCGGGCAGCTGCACAGAGCAGCAGAGTGACCAGTGCCGGAGAGGGCAGGCGGTCACACCCCTTCCTGGCAGGAACACAGCACCTGACCATGGTGCTGGGATGGGGTGCGATTGCCCACCTGCCTCCCTCCCCTACCTAGCACAGCATCTGACTGCGGCATCGGGAGGAGGAGTGACTCGCCTGCCCACCGGGGAAGAGCTCAGCTCCTGACCCAATGTTAGGAGGGGGCACAACCTGCTAGCCGACAGCCACTGGTAGCAGCACAGACAAGGGAGCCAACAGAGGGCCTCTGGAAACAGCAATCTGAGTTTGTGAAACAGGGCGAAGACACAAAGACCTATCGATAAAATCATTAAGAGCACACCGTCTCCAGGAGAACTAGATAACTGATACTCCTTAAGCCACAGTGCCAGAGAGGTATGAGCAATACAAAGAAGCAGAGGAACCACTCCTAATTAAAAGGTCAAGAGAAATCCCCTGAAAGCATGATCAAGGAAATAGACATTGATGGCCTACTAGATCAAGATTTCAAAAAAGGAGTGATCAAAGTACTGAAGGAACTAAAAGAAATAGTGTTTAGAGATATAAAATATGTCAAAAATGAAATAGAAGCTATAAAGAAGAATCAAGTAGAATTAGTAAACTCATTTGCTGAGAGAAGAGCTGACCTAAAGGCTGTACAAAACAGGCTAGATAATGCAGAGGAACGCATAAGTGACCTAGAAGACAAGACAACAGAAAGCACCCAATCAGAACAGCTGAGAGAAAAACAAATAAAAAAACAATGAAAACAATATCAGGGACCTATGGGATAATACAAAGTGTGCCAATATATGCATAATAGGGGTTCCAGAAGGGGAAGAAAGAACAAAGGGGGTTGAAAGGTATTTGAAGAAATCATGACTGAAAACTTCCCAAACCTAAAGAAGGAAACAGATATCCAAGTACAGGAGGCTCAGAGGGTCCCAAACAGGAAGAACCCAAACAGAACCACACCAAGACATATCATAATCAAGATGGCCAGAGTCAAGGAAAAAGAAATGACACTAAAGGCAGCAAGAGAAAAACAAAGAGTGAGTTACAAGGGAACCCCCATGAGGCTCTCAGCTGATTTCTCTACATAAACGCTACAGGCCAGAAGGGAGTGGCAAGATATATTCAAAGTCCTGAATGAAAAAAAAGATGCAGCCTAGGATACTCTATCCAGCAAAGCTATTCTTTAGAATAGAAGGAGAGATAAAGAACTTCACAGACAAGCAAAAACTACAAGAGTTTAGCAACACTAAACCCATGCTAAAAGAAATATTCAGAGGTCTACTCTAAATAGAAAAGAAGCAGGATGCTACAAAAATGAGAAACTCATAACTGGAAAGGAGATAACTGCCATGAATTACAAAAAGAATAAACACAAAATTGTAAAAGAAGACATCTAAATCTTTAAGAGTGGGAGAGGGAAGCAAGGAAAGCCACTGTGGAAAACAGTATGGAGATGCCTCAAAAGACTAGGAATAGACTTACCAAATGACCCAGGAATCCTGCTCCTGGGCATATATCCAGAAGGAACCCTACTTCAAAATGACACCTGCACCCCAATGTTCATAGCAGCACTATTTACAATAGCCAAGACATGGAAGCAGCCTAGATGTCCATCAACAGATGACTGAATAAAGAAGAAGTGGTATATTTATATGGTGGAATACTATTCAGCCACAAAAACTGACAACGCTATTTGTAGCAACATGGATGTTCCTGGAGAATGTCATTCAAAGTGAAGTAAGCCAGAAAGAGAAAGAAAAATATAATATGAGATCGCTTATATGAGGAATCTAAAAAAAATAAATAAAAACAAAAAACAAAAAACAAAACATAAATACAAAGCAGAAACAGACTCATAGACATAGAATACAAACTTGTGGTTGCCAAGAAGGCAGTGGGTGGGAAGGGACAGACTGGGATTTTAAAATGCAGAATAGATAAACAAGATTACACTGTATAGCACAGGGAAAAATATACAAGATCTTGTGGTAGTTCATAGCAAAAAAAAAAATGTGACGATGAATATATATATGTTCATGTATGACTGAAAAATTGTGCTCTACACTAGAATTTGACACAACATTGTAAAATAACTATTACTCAATAAAAAAATGTAAAAATAAAGTAACATGGGAAGAACAATTGTTATAACTACATATTGGGCAAGAAGTTGTTTTGAAAAATTCTGGGATCACAGCTTTTCTTCAGACCCATTTTAAGGTGAGTGAGTTTGTAGTTTTACGACAATCTTTCCTGAAACATCCCATCATAGAAATTAAAAATAAGTAGACTGAACATCACCAGGCTTCTTTATGAAAGAATGTATTACATAACATGTTAACTTATTTGTAAAGAGTCATTAAGAGAGAGTTTAATGAAGAGATTCAGTAGAAATTGCTTATGCTTAAACTTGGACAGATAATATTTTCTTATTGAAGGTGAAAGCCACAGAACTGAAGAAGAATCCTGAGTAAAAGATGTTATTTTTCCCTCTTTGGTGAAAAGAAGCAAAAAGACAACAAAAAACAAGAAAAAATTTCTAAACAAGCTATTTATATATATAAGGAATTATAGCAAGAGACCAAGCTTTTATAGGTGATAGCTAATATACATATTATATATAATGAAATGGTCATCTATAATCTGGCAATAATTTTAGATTATTCTAAAATGGTAAACATAATATTTAACAGCTTATAGAAGAGGCTATTGTGACCTTAGAATAGCTAAGTTCTCACGTCTGCAGACAAAATAAGAGTCCATTAGCAATTTCAAATTGTGATTGTGAGTTTAATACCAACTGTATCTAAAAAGTCTATTTCTCTAAGTCTTATTCATAAATGAATCTTTTTAATCAATATTCTCTAGTGATTGGTTATGTCATTTTTACCGTTTCTATAACAAAGTTCATTTTTAACTTAGAAATGTGATAAATCAAGTTCAGGCTTTTAATGACACCACTTGGAAATGACACATATCCCTGACATTCATCTTTATTGTCAAAACAAGTCTCATGCTTTTATGAATATCTAAGGGGCAAGGAAAGAGAAATTCTAGCATGCATCCAAAAGAAGGAGAACCAGAATGTTTTTGAAAAGTCCTAACGATTATTATAATCCATTTGGAGAATAATTTAAAGATGTTTTCACGTCAACCTACTTAAGGGACTACAGAGGTGGTATTCTTCCAACCAAAGAATACAAAAGGACACAAAGAACTTACTTTGGTTAACTTTAAGTGTGCCCATGATCTTATTGGTGATGAAAAATACATCATTTACTCATTTACTAAACATTTACTAAAACCCTACCAATCTACAGTCTAGATATTACGCTAAGTCATAAGAATTTAATGGCAAACAAGGCATGATAGCTTGCTCTTGTTTTTTAACAAAAGGCTATTATTTATCACATAAACTTTAAATACATATTTATCTTCTAAAAATATACATACATTACCTAATTACAAATGTTTTTTAAATGTGTGTTATTAGCTAGTGACAGATAAGGACACACAGGCAAGGAGCATAAAAGGGTTATAAATGTTACTTTAAGATTATATACCAAATTGTCAAGAAATAAAATGATCATAGAAATAATTAAATCTAAGATGTGCCTCATTAATTATTGTCAGTGCACGATGTATGTGTTTCTTCTAATGAACAGAAATGATTGGACAGTTAGATTCAATCATGAGCTAAGCAATATTTGTGAAATGTAAACCAACCACCGAACACTGATGCCTTGGAATTCCCAAGTCTGGGACAAGAGTCTTAATAGCTGGTGTAGATAAGTGCAGATGAACTGATAGGATAATGTATCTAGTAAATGAGCATGGGAAGGGTATTTTTAGACTCTCCCGGTTAGCCCCCTAAAATAGTCTGAGGGTGAAATCCAAAGGCTTTGCCCCTTGAGTAACCTGAGACTACCTATCATCTCCAGGTCAAACATAAGCACTGAAGCCACACATGTCATGTGGAATTGATGGGTGATTCCTGTTCATTTCAGAGAGCCACCCAGACTCTCCTCTTCAGGATAGTCCTAGATGAAGTTTTATGTTCACTGTACAACAATCTAAGCATTTACAGTGTGTCCATGACAAGTTTCATCCACTATTTCTGCATTATAGGATACCATATCTAATTAAATCCCTTCACGAGAAGCCTTTCACACTACTACAGACAAGGGATAACGATGAATTACCTACTTTTTAAACTTCATTTTGGGGTCTTGGTTTTATGCAATGCTTATGTTGATCAGCCAGATAGGTGGGAAAGGGGAGGGGCTAGACATCAAAACAAGTACTAAGAACTTCTAAGTTTTCTTCATTTTCCTTGGTTGTAATCATTAAAATTGGTGCTTTGGGAGCATAAAGGAGACCTGATATAATCGTGTGTTTGTAAGAAAGGGAATGTTTATCTCTAAATAGACTTTAAGTTCATGGAGACAGTCATTAAAGAAATGCAGCAGAAGTAGAAGTAATTCTTACCACTTCTGATGTTTTCTTTCATTTAGTTGGTATTTGGTTTTGTGACTCATATAGTTTCTCTCTGCCGCTTATAAACTCTTCCTGAAAGTATAGGAAAAAAACAAAAACAGTAAACTACTTGCTGCGCTGACAGGCAGAGACTTGAAGCCATTGAAAGGTGTGTTATTTTTATTACATTATTTGTTGTCCCAGGCTGGCACAACTTGGAATTCACAAGAAATATTGTGTGAGGAGTCAATTCAGTGTCTACAGAAAGAGAAGAGAGTACTGGGCATATCACTGGGTAACTTTCTGATGGTCCCATCCCATCTGTGTTCTGAACAATAGCCCTATTTTGGGGGAAGACTTCCTCCATTTTTTGTGGTCCTAGTGGGATGGCTAGTCATAGTATTTGTTTTCCTAGGCAACAGGGGTGTTCACATGATACAGGCTCAGAAAACTCGAGAGCCTCAAACTGCTATTAATTGTTACTGGTCCATTGGCAATTGGCCCAAATATTTTCAATCTCATTGTTTTCCGTGGTTGGTAATCTGCTTCCCAAGAGTAAGACATTCTTTTCCCTCTAGGACAGTTTACTTGAGTGATATGAATCTGTAACTGCCAGTAGTCATTTTCTCTGCCATTCTGGTAGAGATCATACATGAAATTAATTCAAGTGGAGACAGGAGAGAAGCTTTTGGGTAGCACCGAGACCCTTGTTCCAATCCTTGAAGCTCTTTTATTTATTCTGAGCTACTCCCACATCCTCCCCAGCTTCATAAATCAGAATATTTCCTTTTTGCACAAAATGTGTTGCATTGGGTTCCTGCCAATGATAAAACTTCAGTATTTAAGGAATAAACAGAAGTAGAGGTGTCTACAAAAGATATTGCCATACGCTACACAGGGTTATATAACTTAATGAAGAAGGCATGATGATTGATCATATGAGTAGCTCCCAGGCTTCCTACTAGCCATAGAAGCCACCACTGGCAGAATGAAATAATGCAATAGAAAATGCACTGACTTCACAGACAAAGCCCAGGAAGGGAGGGGACAACAAGAGTGAGCATCCCTGGACAGGGGAACAAAAGAAACTATGAAAGACGATTGTAACAACTTAAGATTTGGATATAATCAACCAAAATCTGTAAGTATCACTGGAGAGGGAGAGTATTTGAATTATAAATATATCCTACTTGAGGCTACTGTATTTTTCTCTATACAAGATCTACTATCAAATAATTATTTTCCTAAAATAAAACTGCCTTGTGAAACACCAAGGCCAGCATTTTGGCAAGAAGTTTGATTTTTTATTATTTTTTATTGGTGCTGGAGCCAACAGATTTTGCCTCCATGCCAGAAATTTTTCTAGCCTTAGGGATACATAATGAGCACATCTCTACTAAAATGGAACTGAGTTTTCATATTTTTAAAAGGAATATTTCTAATATATAGAAATAAGCTCGGTTACAGAGATTTCCCAAGAGATCTGAACAATGCAGATAATTTAAATATTAAAATATTAGAATTCTGAGTATATTAACAATTATGGGGCTGATCTAGTTTTCTTTATAAGATTTGAACCTCAAAAGTTCTGAGCTCCAATTATTTTCACCTGAAACAACAGAAAAATAAAAACTTTTTTTAACCACCTGGAATTCATAGCTGCCCCAAACATTTTGAACCACCTCACTATATTGTGTACAGTTCTCATCATACTGTGTACCTACTTTTCCAGGAGAGAAAAAAAATACTGTATATCCCAGATTCCCTTGTGGCTAGGTTACAGTCATGTGATCTGAGTTTTACCAATGCCAGCTGACTTTTTGAAATGCAGATGTTGGAGGGAGCATGATGAGGTAATGGTTGTGTGCGAGAAACATCTTCTAGCATGCAACATGCTTCTTCTGGAGTAGCTCCCTGTGCCCACAGAGTGGTCAGCCTTTAGCAGCAGCTGTTGACCATCCTGTAGTACATTGGGCACTGTTGCTGATGACTTTGTCCTGAGTGTAACATACCAGCCTGGCTTCCCCAGCTATTGCAGGGCCCATGTGTTACCAAACATTATGACATAAGCCACTTTCTGCTTAAATTTGCAAGGATGAATTTAGTTGTTTTCATCAAGGACTAATAACTTAAGACATGATTTTTTTTTTAAAGGAAAAGAGTCATATGAACATGCCCAGGAAACTTTTATGTACTATATAAAGAAAAGATGATGCTATTTTTGCAGTGATTATTATCCGTCCTTAAATAATTTTAATCTGCGACACTACTACACTTTTGTTTTTTGTTCCTTAAAATCAATGAAGCAAAATATGGACAAATTTTATTAAAAATATAATTACACTAGGTTTTCAAACTTTTTTGCTCTACCATTTTCTTTTTAATAATGGATAATTTATAAGAGATATTATTGTACATAGGAAGGGGATAAATTTGTCCCAAATATTTTAAGTCTCACATCTGAAATCCTTCTGTGAAACGAGAAAAAAGGAATGCCATGAGCTAACAATGCTTTCAGCTAACTATGAAAGTAAGAAGGGCAAGAGTGACTCTGACAAGCTCATGCATCTTAAATTCAGCACCACTCGATGCTGCTTCCCAAGAGGATGCCTGAATAGCACTAGACAATAAAGATATCCAGTAACAGGGTGCACTGATACAGAAACATTACATGCATGTAAATGAGAACAGTCAACTCCCAGAGGAATCAACTAGGAACCAAAATTGTCACTCCTTGTAAAAAGAAAACATAACATGCACACCCGAGAGTAGCAACAGCAAGAGTGGCAGCAGTAATACTACAAATAATTGATTGGGTACCATAATACAAACAAGATAACTGGATTTTTTGATTCTCAATAAAATATCTAGGCATGTTTCAAGAAAATTGCATCAATGAGGGACTGTATGGGTTTAAAAAAAATTTCCAGAAGTGCTCTTTGTTCCTATGTAAAATAACATTAACTTACCTTTCCATTTTCAAGCTCATTAAACAAAAGATAACTGCACCCATTGCCCTGCCCCGAACGTATCCCCTGCAACATACACTCGCCTGCATCATAACACACTTTCCCTATCGCAAAACTGTTCTCTGCTTTTCTTTGCCTGTTTCTAGCTCTGATTTCTGTTTTCAGAGCAAGAGCTACTGCATGTTTTCATTTGCAATGAGAAAGCTCACTGAGATTACATTGGATCTCTGAAGTTAAAGTGCCATCTGGTGCCGAAAGAAAGCATCTCAATATAGACTTTTTTAATGTTAGCAAGATTCATGAGAGTTTTCACATAATAGAGATATATCAAATGCATGTAAAACTCTTAAC